ATTGCCTTTTTCATTTTTAATATCTTGTGTTTCCTGATTTTCAGGTTCCTTGTAAAGAACATCAAGATAATTCTGAATTAAATTCTTCTCTTATGCTAAGATAAAGTCAACAATTAATTTACATCTCAAATCTGTGTAAAATTTAGGCAAACGTAAGTCCATACCTTAAGTGTCTATCCAGCTAGTCATACAAACACGTTTTGAAGCTCTGAGCATAACAGTGATCAGCAGATTTTTTTAAAAATTCTTTTTGTTTTCCAAAAGGATCTTGTTCCCAAAATTTTATAGATAAATTTAATGAGTTTCTTATGACAAAGAGAATCTGCAGAAAGACAGTATCAGGAACAGTGGTGAACAAACTACAATTTCACCCCCTTGATGGAGTAGGAAAGGTTTAAGAGCAGAAAAGAGAAAAAGAAAACAACTGATGGGTCAAGCCCTGTGCGTGCAATCTCCTCCACGCTGGGAGTCCTGGGTTTGATGAGAAATCTTGCCTGTGCTAGTTTTTGAGTTCAGAGAAGAAACCACACAAAGGATGGGTGTGCTGTTTACTTTCACAATCATCTTCAGGAATCGTACAAATGGTATTGCCCATCAGGATGGGCACTTCAGGTGGCGACATCACTGTTTTGAATAGTGAGTTCCAGGGATTAGTGGCTAAGTAAAGTTCTGCTCAAATGTACACATATATTTAAACTAGGAGGGAGGCGGCTCATTAGGTCAAAGCCGCTCAAGGTCTGGTTGTCCCCTCTGCTCCTGCTTCTGCTTATGCACAGCACGTTTCCTAAGACTGTGCAGCTGACGCACAGCAGACTTTTAGTTTTTGTTCAGGGCTGGTTTTGATCTGCAGTGTTCAGGGATGAGCAATTCCTTTCAAGTTATTTGCAAACCTTGTCAAAGCCTGATTGCAGCATGACATTGATGACAGACTGATTATTACTTGTCTCAAAAAGCAGTGTAAGAACATATTGGCTTTCATGCAAACATCCAGCTTGTCATTAGCGTACAGTGCAAATGGCAGAGATTTCAAACCAGAATCCTGAATGCATCGGAAAAAAGAGTCATCTCTGTTTCTATTGTCCCTGGAAGGATTTCAATAAAATTTCATGGGCAATTGTTGTAGAGTTAAATTCCCATAGCACCTAGACAAATGGTCTTGAGTTGAAGTTTCATGTGTATTCTTGACAAAATATATTTTGGTAGCATAGACAGAAAAAATTAAAAAAACATTTAAAATATTATTAAAATATAAATAACTTTTCCTCCAGTAAAGCAAATCTATTGATGTTTAGGAGTGTGTTCACTTGAAAAGTTCATCTTTCTTAAGTATTAGGTGTTGCTGATTTCTCAATTAACTTGAGCCAGATCCAACCAGATGAATAAATTTGCTACCGTAGGTATTTTTCCTTTTCATAGCATAGGAATTTATTGCATTAAAGAGGCATATAAACTCTAAAACATTTTCAATGATTTAAAAATTCTAGAATTTCAATTTTATTCAAGAGCCAGGAAGCTTACCTATATATCTACTTTATACTTAAGAAAAACTACAGTCTGGCACCAAGTGATGTCTATGTTCAGGAGCTAGTGTTACTGCTTCAACTGTGTTCTTTTTGCTATTTTTTTCCATCTGCTGGTAGAAAGGTGAAATGAGACTCTCTTTAGACCAGAGCCACTAGTTCCAGGAAGGATCAATCAACTCAATTTCTATAAAGAAATATTAACTCCACTAGGAGATGACTTGTTTAAAGTCAATTGGAACTTTTGTTAGGAAAAAAAATATTTGTACATGAAAAATTAAATCAAAGTTTGTAAACTGGAATTTAATAAAAGGAAAATTTCCCTTCCACTGAAGATTCCCAGTACTTTATCCCAGGAATCACACTGATATGCATATATATTTCTATTGTCACTCAATTTCCACATAAAGGAAGCAGAATTTTGTTTCATGAAATAAGGGAAGTACAGAAAGGCAAACGTTGCATGTTCTCACTCACATGTGTCATCTAAAAATGATAATTAGTATATTGAACCATGTTTTATTTCTTTAGCCATATTGGAAGCTGTACTTACTTCACACAGTATGGAAATCCTATCTCATTTGAGATCGTCAGAGCCCAGAGATGAAAGGCATTGATATTTGATTTAAATAAGTCTGATATATTTCTTCATGAATGTACCTGGTCTGGTCCATGCTAGCCTATAAATTGATTTTAAAAAGAATAGAGATAATTATTCTAAAAACATGATATATTGGAGTTAAAGGTTGTGCCAGTCATTTCTGGACACAACAAAAAAAGGAATACTCCAACCCTATACTGACTAAGATCAGATTTGGGCTTCTGCAATCCATAATGATCCTCAAAGTTCTCATCTTGCCCAATCACCATTAGTCACAAAAGAGTGTCTTGAAGACCGGGAAGTTTGCATTGCCAACATGAAGACTGAGGCTTAAACCCCAGTGATGCATGATTGGCCTCACACAATTAAATCTTGCTATATCCACATAAATAAAAGTAGTGGATTATTTCATCCCCAGAAATCAGCCAATCAATCTCACCTTTGTAATAATAATAAAGCAATATAAAGTTAACTAAAAGTAGATTTTTGTAATAATTTAAAATAAGATTAGGAGAGGGAGGAGGAAGAAGGGTGGGAGTGTGGGCAGCAGGCGGTAGTGTGGGAAATATCACTCTGTTTCTGAGTCTGAGTCTGTATATATGAAAAATCTTAAATAAAATAAAAAAATGCACATGCTATATTTTAAAACATTTTCTCCCATAATCACGATAATAATGCAGAAGTTCTGAGTTCAGACTGGTAGATATGTGCGTAGATAGATTTCTTCCACATTTCTAAATCTCATTATATTGAGAAATAAATTTATAAAACACATATATTATTTTCATGACCTAAAAGATAAAACAGAACTCTGAACCAGATATTTCCTGAAATCAGAATTTCAAGGACTTTTATTGATAGATGTGATGGTTAGTTGTCTGGATCATGGGATACTCAGATATATCTGATCAAACACTATTCTGGTGTTTCTGTGTTTCTGTTAGCATTTAAACTGGTGGGCTTTGAGTAAATTTAAGTGGATTTCATCCAATCAGTTGAAAGTCCAAAAAGGACAGAAAGACTGGCCTCCTTTGAGTAAGAGAGAATTTTATAGCAGATGGCCTTCAGATTTGAATTACAGCATTGGCTTTCTGGGTCTTTAGCCTGCCAGCCCACCCTATGTATTTTGGACTTGTTGGCTTCCAAAATTACCTAAGCTACTTTAATAAATTAATTTCTCTCTCTCTCTCTCTCTCTCTCTCTCTTTCTCTCTCTCACTTACTCTCTATATGAAAACACACAGAGAGAGAGATGCTACTTAACTTACAATGTGATTATGTACTGATAAATCCATCATAAATTGAAGATACTGCTAATTCAAAAATGCATTCAATATACCTAACCTATTGAACATCATAGTTTAGCAACACAGTATGCTGTGGGAGTGTCAGTTGCTTACCCTCAAGATTTCATAGTTTGAGATTTGTAGCACCCTACTACTGCCCAGCATTGCAACACAGGAGATCCCAGGAAAAGATCGAAATTGAAAATATAAAGTATGGTTTCTAATGAATGCATATTGCTTTTGTACCCTCATAAAGTGGGTATATACATATGGAATATATGTAGAATTGTTCAATGCATATATATGTACATTAATTGCAAGAGATTTAAAGAATGCCAATGAATCAATGAGAAACATAACAACTTAAATAAGATGCTTGAGCACTTATTTACTCAATGTATTTAAATGATGATATGAAAAGATGGTCTCGGGACCAGTGCTGTGGCTCAGAGGGTTAACGCCCTGGCCTGAAGCCTATGCATCCCATACAAGTGCTGGTTCTAGTCCTGGCTGCTCCACTTCCAATCCAGCTCTCTGCTGTGGCCTGGGAAAGCAGTAGAAGATGGCCCAAGTTCTTGCACCCTTGTGGGAGACCCTAAGGAAGCTCCTGGCTCCTGGCTTCGGATTGGTGCAGTTCCGGCCATTGCAGCCAAATGGGGAGTGAGCCAGTGGATGGAAGACCTCTCTATCTCTGTCCTTCTCTCTCTCTCTCTCTCTCTCTCTGCCTCTGCTCTCTCTGTGTAACTCTGACTTTCAAGTAAATAAATAAATCTTTAAGAAAAAACACAAAAAGGTGGTCAGAATCATTAGTCATCAGCTAAATATAACGCCACATATTACATCCTAAACACGACTAAACTTTGAAAAGGCAGAAAATATCAAGTATTAGCAAGGTTATGACTCAAAGAAAGTTATCAAAAGCAATATGAAGTGCTGGCGCCGCGGCTCACTAGGCTAATCCTCCGCCTTGCAGCGCCGGCACACCAGGTTCTAGTCCCAGTCGGGGCGCCGGATTCTGTCCCGGTTGCCCCTCTTCCAGGCCAACTCTCTGCTGTGGCCAGGGAGTGCAGTGGAGGATGGCCCAAGTGTTTGGGCCCTGCACCCCATGGGAGACCAGGATAAGTACCTGGCTCCTGCCATTGGATCAGTGCAGTGCGCTGGCCGCAGCACACCGGCCGCGGCGGCCATTGGAGGGTGAACCAATGGCAAAGGAAGACCTTTCTCTCTGTCTCTCTCTCTCACTGTCCACTCTGCCTGTCAAAAAAAAAAAAAAAGTAATATGAAGTAACATTTTGGAACCTGTTAATCACTTAGGTGGAAACATTACAGTATCTACAGAATCTAATGATACACATATCTAATTCTACTCTGAGTTATATACAATAGAAATGGCAGTGAGGGACAGACATTTGGCACAGCGGTTAAGATACTGCTTCAGATGTCTGCATCCTGTTAGAAGGTCTAGGTTTGAGCCACCTCTGCTTCTGATTCCAACTTAGTACTATTGCATACTCTGGGAACCAGAAGATGATATCACAGGTATTTGGGTCTCTCCCACCCTTGTGAGAGATATAGATAAGTTCTAGGCTCTTGGCTTTTTCATTATAAAAGAAGTTTATTGGTGGTAACCTTACATAGTTTACTCCTGATACTTTATGTTACATACTTTAGGGTCTTAAGATAGGCAGGATCCTTGTATGTAACCGGCATAAACCCCATTAATTGAGCTCTCTTAATTGCTTTTGTGATTTCTTTCTGTTTCTTCCCACAAAGACCTGTTATGTGCCTTCCATAAATGCATCCAGTAAATGGAGAAACAAACTGGGACAAAAGCTGTACATTCTTGTAATCTACACGTTTCCCACACATGATACATTTCTTAAGAGGCTCCTTATAAGGATTTTCCATTGGAACAGGCAGGTCCTCATTGCTGGTTAATTGTTTATATTGAGAACAACCTCTTCTCCACAGCACAGCATGAGTTCCGGGTTCTGTGAGGCAGACGGCAGCCGTTACCACACGTGTTGTCTTCCTAACCAGACCACTGTAGACCGCAACCATAGCTGCCATAGCTCCCCCTAGGCTCTTGGCTTTAACCTGTACAAATACCCAACTTTTAAGGGTATTTGAAGAGTGAATCATTGAATGGAAGATCTCTGTCTCTCTGATAAAATGAATATAAACAATAAAAATTTAAAAAGTAATTGCTTTTAGCAACAAAAAGCATATATGGAAAACTTTCTTGGTGACTTCATTCATTATAGCCTCAAACAGGAAACAACCCAATTATTCATAAGAAGGAGAATAAATCAATACTTTATGATATACTTGCATACAGGAATTATAGCAGCAGTGAAAAAAACAGCAAATATATAGTTAACATTGATAATGTTGAAGGAAAAAAACTGCTGGATAAAAGTTATAGGTCAGTAGCACAGCTGGAAGGGAATTTCAGAATTCTATTTTTTTTGTTTTTGTAGTAAGGAGCAAATAGATAATTTGCAGTTTTTATGAATCAATAAAAAGAGATGAGATATAAGAGTACAGTTTAACCACCAGAAAAAATTTAAAATGACTAATAGGTTTATCTTTTTATATTTATTTTTAACAATATGCATGTTGTTTCATAATGACATTTTAAAATTATAAAACATATTTTGGCCAGCGCCGCGGCTCAATAGGCTAATCCTCCACCTTACGGTGCCAGCACACCAGGTTCTAGTCCCAGTCGGGGCGCCGGATTCTGTCCCGGTTGCCCCTCTTCCAGGCCAGCTCTCTGCTGTGGTCAGGGAGTACAGTGGAGGATGGCCCAAGTGCTTGGGCCCTGCACCCGCATAGGAGACCAGGAGAAGCACCTGGCTCCTGCCTTCGGATCAGCGTGGTGAGCCTGCTGCAGCACGCTGGCTGCAGCGGCCATTAGAGGGTGAACCAATGGCAAAGGAAGACCTTTCTCTCTGTCTCTCTCTCTCACTGTCCACTCTGCCTGTCAAAAAAAAATTATAAAACATATTTTATCTCAGAGGCTACTGAAAGTGAATTGAAAGCTAAAGTACCCCCATTTTGCTATTGCTGATCTTTCACAATAGGAAAGCCATTAGAAATCCTGAAGGCAAAACCTGTTCAAGTCAAGAATTCAGATGTGCTTTGCCTGTAAGTCTTCTCACCTACCAGCCTCAGTAAAGACCATTCCCTGGAATCTTACACAAACAAGCATATGCATTAGTCAGTGTGCAAGACTGAGTGGGGAGGACTTGGCATAAGGACAAAAAAGAGTCTCCAAACTTCTTTGGAAAGTGTTTTGCCACTTATCCTAAAGCTATAACTCTGCCAACTGGAGTCAGTGGGCTATTATAAATTTATATATGCATTTAATCTGCCTGGAGAATTTTTTTACTTATATGGTACATCAACATTTCAAAACAACCTTTTGAGATACAGAATCTTCCAAGAAGAAGGTTCTTTACATGTGAGAGGCAGCTTTCTTTCTGAGGGACAGCAATGACTAGTTTGTTTGAGTACAAAACTGACAGTTGGGAATGTCTGAAATATAATTCTGGCTTTTCTACTTCCTTAGGTTGGCCATACAGAATAAAAATGAACCTGCTATGGAAGTAGAATTTTGGGGGAAGTACATACACATATTTAAGAAAAGCTAGAAATGCTGCTATAATAAAAGTTGGGGAAATCCCTTGACCACTATTCCAGTTCTATTCACTGATTAGATCCTAATAAAAACCATTAATAAAATTAACACAGAGGCTTCACAAAGCTTTGTGAAGTGATGAATAAGGCAAAAAGGATTCTTCAGAATAAGTTTATAATTCTATGAAATTATTTTTCCTTCATAATCTGAACAGAAAAAAAAGTTTAAAGTATTGCAAGTGAGCGAATTTTTAATTATTGAAAAGAATGAACGAAATAATATGGTCTCAAAGCCAAGCTTTCTTAGAAAACCTACCTTGTTGCACTCTGGAGGAGGAATCTTTGTCTGTGATAGGTCCCCTGTGAATACTGCCCTTTATCAATATATAGGACTTACCATTAGGGCTCTAAGACCATTCTAACATGTCACAATTTGCTGTTTGAAGCAATATACAAATAGCACAGGCAGTTCTTTCAGGGAAGTATTTGCAGTATTTCTTAAATTTGACTTTCTGAAAAGGTACAAAATTCACCAGAGTTTGAAAAAATTGTTTTCAACATATAAGCTCTCAAAGAGATTACAACAAGTGGATAAGGGTGTGAGTATTATTCTAATAGTAAGGAGAACTTCACTCTCAAATGGGCATTCAAAATCCTGGCTTAGTAATTGGCATCAAATCGATGAATAGGTTAATTAGATTATTTGTTGGAGATTCAAGCTTCTCCGAAATACAAGCCTGTTTCTTACGGGGTCATTAACAAATTCAGTCTCTGTGCCAATCTTTGAAGAAGGTGAAAGCTGCAGTTAGATATCTCAGAGGAGTAACTTCAAAATTTTTATGTCTAAACTGAACTTATATTTTATTTAAATCTGGTCCCAATCTTAGCAGCTGGAACTGCCCTCTACCCAACTACTCCCCTACATCACATTTCCCACCCTATCCTGCCTGAACCTACATTCTCTTCTTTAGCAAAGAGAGAAAAATTATCCCTTGTCATGATAATTATATGGAACATTAATGCTGAACACTTGATTTTTAAAATCATTATGACCAACTCTTTTAATAAAGTGTGTTTATGCCTATGTGCGTGAATGTTCATGAATGTGTGTATGTATCTATATCTGTACACTTAAGCATATAACAATATACATAAACATATAATACATTTTGTGGAAGAAAAGCAACAACACTAATAGCCTTAGAAAATTTCAAAAGTTCTCTGCATGAGAAGACTTTCAAGGAAAATTCTAACTTCAGAAGGAGGGTGCAATGCTTTACAGGGTTTAATAGGACAGGCAGGTGAAGTTCAATTAGTTATAGAGAGCAGCTGGTCACATATGGTTCTCAGAAGAGGCAAGGGGGTTTATTGGAAATATAAACAAAATATCACTTGTAGTTCATAGCACTGTATTAGACTTTGTACACAAAACAGGCTGATTAAAGAGATGGTTAGAGATTAAAATAAAAGAATGGTCCTTGAGGAGAAAGAGTTAAGACTTAAGGATGTGTGCAAGATGGGATAGGCAAGAATAAGGGTCAAAGACAAGAGAAAGCCACCACAGGACAGTCCCTCAGCTCCTGAGATCTCACAGTTTTCAACACAAAGAATAATAAAATGAAGACATTCTGACTACCTTCTATTCTGCAGTACATTTAGTAAGGTAGGAGTTTCCACCTCTTTCTTAAATCTTAAACACTTCATTTAAAATCTTCATTTTAGTGTTTGAATTTTATTTTTTACTGGAATATAAAAATGATATTTTGTATTATAATAAATTTGTGAAGTACCATTTGATGTTTGATATCTTATGCAATATCCAAGTCAGTGCAAACATATATAATATATGTCCTGAAAAATTTATCATTTCTTTATGTTGAAAACACTCAAAACTAAGTTATAGTTGGGTGAGAACAAGTTCTGATATTCTATTGCTTCATTTTCATGTGTTCTGTTTCTAACGCAGTTTGGTTTGAAATGTCCTTTGATTGGACCCCTTTACATACATATATTTAAAAGGTTTAAATATGTTGCTTTTACATCACAGAATTATGTTTGGGAAACATTTCCAAAGTCTCATTTTAAATAGAGATGCCAAGAGTAGCAATTAAAGAAGTAAATTCAGGGGCTGGCACTGTGGCGTAGTGGGTAAAGCTGCTGCTTACAGTGCCAGTATCTCATATAGGAGCTGCTTCAAGCCCCAGCTGCTCCACTGCCAATCCAGCTCTCTGCTGTGACCTGGGAAAGCAGTAGAAGATGGCTCAAGTCCTTGGGCCCTTGCCCCCACATGGAGATCCGGAAGAAGCTCCTGGCTTCTGGCTTCTGATTGGCCCAGCTCCAGCCATTGTGGCCATTTGGGGAGTGAAATGGTGGATAGAAGATCTCTTTCTCTCTCTCGCTCTCTTTCTCTTTCTCTCTCTCTCTCTCTGCCTCTGCCTCTCTATAACTCTGACTTTCAAATGAGTAGATAGATCTTTCCAAGAAAGGATACTAACCCATATATTTCTTTAAATGTTTCAATGTTAGCTAATGAAGTTTTCATATATATGATTGTATCTAATTTTTTTAAGATTTATTTATTTATTTTAAAAGCAGAGAGAGAAAGACGGAGAGAGAGAGAGAGAGAAATCTTCCATCCACTGGTTCACTCCTCAGATGGCCTCAATGACTGGAACTGCACCATTCCAAAGTCATGAACCAGGAGCATCCTCCAGGTCTCTCATGCGGGTGCAGGGGCCCAAGGACTTGGGTCATCTCTATTGCTTTCCCAGGCCAAAGCAGAAATCTGGATTGGAAGTGGAAAGCAGGGGCTTGAACCAGCATACATATGGGATGCCGGCACTGCAGGTAAGGACTTTATCCACAATGCCACAGCTCCAGCTTTATCTATTGTGCCACAGAGCCAGCCCCACCTTTAATTCTAAATCCAAAGTTAAAAATAAAGTAAAATGGCTTAAATGGTTTCATGACTAAAAAAAAAAAAAAATTCGAAAGAGCTTAATTGCTCCAATAAGAGGTCTTGAAAAGGTTCATGGAAAATGCACATTACAACAAAAACTATTTACTTGTATTTCAATTTTCTTTGGTATCAAAATAAACTTACCTTTTTAATCCCACATTTGCATGAACTTTTAGAAGTACTCTTGCATGTTTCTGTTGGATTTGAGACCAAGATTCAAGAGATTTGGAATTTGACATTGTAAATTCAGTATACAAACTCAAAAATATACTAAATAGAGGAATAACATACAACATGCTGAGTCAATTTCAGCGAGGAAAGGAGAAACACAAATAAAGCAGGAACCTCTTTGACAACCAATATCAGTACTTGCTGTAGGAAGGAATTTCAACAAACACTATGACCTTGAATGGAATAAGACATTAATGTTTGAATAGTAATAAAAGAGTCATGAGCAAGCTAAGAATGCTGGCACCTTAAATATCTGGTAGAATAAATGGGGAATCATAATGTGTCTGACAGAGGATTTGAGAGATGATAAATAGTAGAAAGAAGATGTTTAATAGACTTACCATAGATTCTAAATGAAATACAATACTATATATAAGCAGAAGTCTGTAATATTAATCATCAATGCAGGAAGAAAAACAACTGAAATGTAGAAGAACTGTGGGCTGCTGTAGGTCCACTCTCCCTTTTACGTTCATTCTTTCTTGTCAACCCTCCTGCGAACTCTTCTAGTTACTTACTTTTCCCAACCTAAAGTTTTATGCTTGTGCCTTAAGGCACAGCCTTTTGGGGGAATACCAGTAGGCTTTGAAGATTCCCCTGTCCCTGTTTCACCTCCTAATGCTCCAGTAGGCATGAATTTTCCAATAACCAATATTGAACTTTTTGAAAGCTGAGTAACATGAAAGCAAGGGTGCTAGAGCCCTGAGAATATGGTGGGGTAAGACTCTTAGCTCTGGTAAGAGCACCACAAAAATGATACCTGATTCTCATACATGATATCAGGGACACACAACAATGTTTTTTCTTTATTGGTGATATTAACTTTGATGAAGGTGGTGCAGAGGAGGTAACATTTCATTTCTATCCTCATAGGGCCCTTTGGTCAGGCCAGAGAACAAAACCAGCATAAATGGATTAGCAGGAGAAAAGTATATAGGGTGATTTAAAATATTTTATGTGACACAAGAGCCCCCCACTAAGATCCAAAGAAGTGACAAAACTGAAACCCTTTTATATTAGGCTGAACAAAGAGAAATACTTCTGTTAAAGTAACTCAACTGTGTGGAGAAGGGAAAGGAAGATAAGACTTATTTTTAACAAAGTCTGCACAGAATTCTCTTGGTGTCAACTCCCAATTCTTGATGATAAGGATGTTACTTTTCTCCTGGTATAGGGAGGACACCTTCCATACGGGGATTTTATCTCCTGTTTTCAGGAAGAAAACGAGGGAGGGTCAGAGCATGCTTGCTTCATCTGTTTGTTCTGTTTAAGTGCCTTTAACTCAAAATAATCCTTATGCCAAAGTACTGTATTTCAGGTGGCTTATTTTAACCCTCTTCAGTGATCTCTGCCAAGTTTCTCAATGGTAAAACTGTTACTTTTTCCTTAGAAATTAAACAATTGGTGGGGATATTTTTAAGGCTCTGAAATGACCTGTTCTTCATCAAATTTTCAAGAACTATTTTAGAATCCATTGATTATTAATGAAATCAAGATATGTATAATGTTAATCATTTATAACTCACTGAACAAAATGAGAACCCCTGAGTTCATACTGAATGAGAGAAAGAAAAGAGAGGAAGAAAGAAAAAAAGAGGAATGAATGAAAGAAGGAATGAAGGAAGGAAGGAAGCAAGGAAGGAAGGAAGGAAAAAAGAAAATGGCTATATTTTTTATTAGTGAGGTCCTACCAGACACTGGATTCATTCAAATTGTCATATTAAAAGTTAACAGAAAAACAACATAAAAATTGTGAACAAGAATAAGGGTACAAGCAAGAGTTGATGAAACACCCAAGTATTATTCATATTAAGGAGAACTAGTCACTTCTAGGACCAAAATTATCCAAGGAGGACACAGTTATGGTGGGCTCCTGGAGTAAGTAAGGTGCATGGAGGGAGATGCTCTGAAAAAAGCTTTGCCTGTCTGGGATGCCACCACACCTAGAGCTGTGACATCAAAGCAGAGAAGAAAGACAGAGGAAGTGCAGATTATTCTCTCCCCTCCCCTCCTCTCCTGCTGGTGCTCTGTGGCCAGACCTCACAAAGTTCAGCCTGCAGCAGTGCTGAGCACCTGCTGTTCACAGCAACCAAAAAAGCCAAAAAGCGGAGGAAAATGGAAGAAGAGAAGATGCGAATGCTCACAGTGTTCTTCCCAACCACCTGGGAACACGGGGTAATCGCTTCTTCAACAAGGTTGTAGTTGCTGGGTTTTCTAATGCTGAATGCCTCAAAAATGCACTTTGAATTCAGTTCAAAAGATTCTGCCACACACAAGTGCTATCATATTTACTTTATTACAGAGAGTGTGTACCTCTCTCCTGCTCCTGAAAAATCCAATTTGTTACTCCCCCGGGAGAAAGTGTGTCAGGTGCATATGCGGATAAGGCAGTTAGAAACAAGTCTCCATTCAGCTCACACAATCTAACCCTGTTAGAGACGATTGGTTAGGGTATTTTCTGGGGGACTGAAGTTGATTATGAGAGAACAAAGAAGCAAAAGTCATACTACATAATAAAAATGGAAATTAGTTGAAATTCTCAATTCCATTTCCTGAGCCAATGAACATAAAGTTCATGTTTTGCACATCTGTTTGCTGAGATGGATCTATAGTTATGTTAGGGAAAACTAAAATAAATCTCAAATAGGTTTCTAGGGTTACCCTCAAAACTGAAAAGCGTATACTTCAGTGTCTCTGTGGTCAGATTTAGAGGCACACTACTGAAGGCTTTTGTTTAGGTTGTGATTTCCTCACTTTTATTAGAATTAGAAAATCACAATGTTTTCCCATTATGTTTTCCCTTTCAAGCTTGGCTAGCAAACTGAACTGATCTGGTGCCAATATTACATCCATGAGATATTTAGGGCCAAATGTCTGAATTTTAGAAAATTTAATTATAAAGCAAAGGAGATTTCATAAAAAGCCTGCTACCAATAGAAATGTTTTCATTAAATATGTTTTCATACGATTATGAGCCAAAGCAGCTTTCTTTTTTTGGTTTCCTTTGCTTTTGCTTCTCCTGAGTCATTTTTCTGCTGTGTTTACAGCCTGGGACTGCAGCACTGTGCTAGCGCAGGGAGACTGGGAAGCAGACGTGACCAGACACAAAGGTGATAAAGGCTCCTCTCATTTCCATGTTCAACCAGAGCGGAATGCAAATACCAAGCAGTGCATGACAAAAGGTAAATTAGATCTTCCAAATCCTTTTTTTAATCATCTGAGATGGTATTGGCAGCTCAGGTAAACCTTTTCTATGAATATAGGATTTTTAGCTCAGCAAAATCCAGTTAAAAGCTAGATAAAAGGTAATATAACTTTGTCCTTTCACTATAAATGACATTTCTTCTTTTTCCAAACTGCATTTTACACTTATATACACTGATTTTTTTTTCTAAGAGCTTCTGTTTGTTATATCATTTAGTTACACAGTCTCTTATCAAATGTTTTTGCATATTTACTGTGATAAGACTGACCTGGAAGCCAGAAGTTCAAAGACCACCAAGATAGCAAATGTGTGCTCTAGGTGATCTGGGTTTCCTGAAGGAGACACACCCACAGACAAATAATGATCTGGCAAATTATGGCCCACTGCATTAATACAAGTACAAATGCAGTGCATGTTGGAACACTAGAAACAAAGTAAGTGGTTCTGCCTTTTGGAATTAAACAGTAATTCCAAAAAAAACCCCACATGCATCAGAACTAAATTTTGAGACAAAATGGAAGGAATTTATCTAATGTCATAAGGGAGAGGGATACATACCAGAGAAGAAATAAAATGTTGAAATACAGAAGCAGTCCTATGATGATCAAGTCCATTTAACTTTGTACCAATTTTGTTAATTTTGAACATTATATGTTGACTGAAGAATACTGTACACTCTATTGAGTTTAGGTCAATGGAATAGGGTTCTAATAGACAGAGAGAGAGAGAGAGACACACACATGTGTTTAAATTTTAACCTTGCCTTGGGCCACTGGTTGCTAAGAGCTTTACTGCTCTCACATCTGAAATCATGAAAATAATACTTCGTCAGAGAATGCATTTTGAGTTGATTCAGTGGCACAGTTTATAGGAATGCAGGATACCTATGACCCCTTGTAAGCTGACTTTCAATGAAGTTGTAGGTTGGTCAATGTGACTAGTACAAACCTCAGAATCAGATAACCGTGGATGAGGTCTGTCTCACACTTAGGAGCCAAGTGAATCTGAACAAGTTAACTCACTGCTTTGAATGTCAATATTCCCACCTGTGCAATGACCACCATGGGATGAGTAGCCCTATCAGGAACACTGCAGACTCTGAAGGTAAGGTTTCCATTACACAGGTTAGCCCACAACAGCTGTCAATTAAAGAATAATGGGCCGGCGCCGCGGCTCACTGGGCTAATCCTCCACCTTGCGGCGCAGGCACACTGGGTTCTAGTCCCGGTCGGGGTGCCGGATTCTGTCCCAGTTGCCCCTCTTCCAGGCCAGCTCTCTGCTGTGGCCAGGGAGTGCAGTGGAGGATGGCCCAAGTGCTTGGGCCCTGCACCCCATGGGAGACCAGGAAAAGCACCTGGCTCCTGCCATTGGATCAGCGTGGTGCGCTGGCCGCAGTGCGCCAGCCACGACGGCCATTGGAGGGTGAACCAACAGCAAAAGGAAGACCTTTCTCTCTGTCTCTCTCTCTCACTGTCCACTCTGCCTGTCAAAAAAAAAAAAAAAATCCAGAAAAAAAAATAATGGGAACATGATAAACAGAAAAAAGTTTATTTATTTTACATCATGTGACAGGAAATTAGAGTCATCTCATATTTATGTAAGAAATGATCCAGTCTGCTTCATGCAGCCTTTATATAAAAGTGCTTTGCAGTCTCCAACACTTCTGAGGTGGCACTAGGATCTGCACTCTGTAAGCCACAGTTTGTGGGAATGATGGCAGGGAGCAGAGTGTTAAGTGCTGGGTGGAGGGTAGAGATAAAGGGAAAAGAGGTAGACAGGAAGCAAATTCTTGCTTTTTGCCATTCTACAACCATATGACCCTATGCTCACCTTCAACGGAACAGGTTTCTGACATGAGAACACAATAGTCTTAATATAACAGATCCTAAAACATTCATCTTAGATTAAAATCAGGGTGAGGAGCTTCTCTTTTCTCCAGGAGCAGATTCCTTTGTCTCCTGCAACCACACTCAAGCTGAACACATCAACAGCGGCAGAGGGAGATTTGTGATCTGAATCTCCGACTTGAAGTTGTTTACTGTTGAGTAAATTCAAGCATCATTGCATTTCCTTCTCTTTTTAATATGTTACTGGCAGTCTGATGGCTTAAAGCAGCTCTGTCCAAATGGAATCTTTTTTGCTTTGTTCCCTCTTCCCTCTGCCTCCGACACATGACCACCTGGCATATGCTGTGTGTTCTCTGTGCGGAGACTGCCAGCCTGCAAACAAAGCCCGGGTGGACACGCATGGGCAGAGCAGCCGTGAGGGCTGTGAATGCAGTCAAACCACTGGTCATTTGGTCAAACCTTCAGATCAAATGGTTTCACAACAGATTCTGTCAAGTACAGGCACAGAAGAGAAGGGTAGTGATTCAAAAGTGTCGTTTCAACACTCCACATTGCTGAAAGACATTTTCCTAACAACTTTGATATTTTAAAAATTCAAATTAGATAATTAGTGGTCTAATGCTATCCAATTACTTTAGAATTTGCAATGGAAAGAGAAGGGGAAAACCGAAATTGTTGATTTAAAAGTCACTTTAGAAATTACAAGGATTTTTAGAAAGCCTTGTAATAGCTATTCTAGGCATAACAGGCGATATTCAAGATTAGAATATTGCAAGAGGTAATTTCTGTATGTATTAAAATTATAATAAAATCATTGAGAAAGAAAAGGGAATAAACCTGCAAACAGTAGTTGCTAATAGGATTTTTTAAAGTGGTAGTCACACATATTTCTGCATTCCTTTTTTCTCGGGGGTGATACTTTATACTGCACAGCTTGCTTTTCACAAAGAAAAAATATAATAAAGTGGTCATAAAAGAGTAAGTATCTTATTTCCCTTGGTTTTCTGAATTTATGTTTCGTGACTTGTGTGATTAATATAGTACTTTTTGGAACTTTTGATGCACAAATTTTGCTAAGAAAAATTTGCTGGCAAATATGCTATGTCTCAGTAATTTTAGCATAAATCAGTACACTACTGTTACAATAAGACAGTGGTCCCTCAGGCTGGCGCCTTTCTCCCGCATGTGCAGTAAGATTAAACAGCAAAGATCACTGATCTAGAAAAACACACTGAAGTTCCATAGTCTCAGGTCTTCCAAAGTCTCAGTGTATGGATTTAACTGGGGAACATCCTCATGAAATAAACTGCAGCCATAGTCTTATTAACTACCCAGCTGTGATTCGATCAATTCAATGTTTATTGATTATCTAAAATAAGCCCTACCCTCTATTGTTGTAGTTTCAAATAGAGAGTGATGAGCACTATCCTCAGTAAACTTACCTGACTGAATTGCAATTTTCAAAAGTTCAAGTTGACAGAACCATTATTCTATAGTGTGGTTCTAGCGTACTACATAATTTCTTGGCATTAAATTGGCTAAGATACCAATACCAATGTCTGTGTCTACAGCTATCACACTATCATCTATTTAATCTTTAATATATCCTTTTTTACCAGAGATGAGCAAATTTATCTGGACTTCCTAGCCATATTCCCAAGCTAATTTTATATTTAATTTAGTTTTGTTCCTTTTCCTAACAAAATATGTGTGTGAAGATAATAATACTACAATATATATATATTTTATTTTCTAGAGATTTAACATGAATTGTTGCTATTTAAATGAATATTCACAACCTCCAGCAATCTTTTCTCAAAGCCAACTTTTCTGCACCATTCTTTTTCTTGTACTCATTCTTCATTCAGACCACTTCCAGATACATAGCAACTAAAAAAAAAAAAAAATCTTTCTGTTACTGAGCATGCAATTACCCAGGCTAAACTCTTTCTCCTTTCCTTTTGACAGCTTGTAAATTCTACATGTTCTGTGTTTGTCTCTAGTACAGTTTACACCATGAGGTCTTTGCTGATTTACTCAGCTTCATGCAATCTTACCTCAGCCACAACTACTAGAGTTATAGTATTTTCCACACGCGGTCATATGTTGTTTATGATTATATTTTTATTTGTTATGAAAATTTAATGTATCCAGTATTTCATTAAAAATGGTGATAAGAAAAGAGGTAGAAAACTTATTGTCTCTGTCTTTAAGAAATTCACAAGTTAGTAGTGAGATAGACATAACAAATATAATATCATTTTGAAAAGAACTGAAAGGTAGAACAACAGATCCTATTATGTGGCTAAGTGGATATATTAATAAATGGGGTATTATGAAATATTTCACAGAGAAAAATTGCTTAAATGAAGGATAAACAAGAGTTCATATAAAACCACACAGTTATAGAGTGGGGTGGCAGAGGGCCTTCCAGAGATAGGAACATATGAAAAGGCAAGTGTTTAAACAATTATTTGAGATCAACTAACTGGATCAGAATGGCAGGAGCTCAGGATATTGAAAGAAGTAATGAGAACTAAGAGGGAGAAGCTGTTGGAACAAGATGGCAAAGTCTTTGTTGAAGAAGCCGTGAGATGAGTGCATCTGAGGAGGAAAATGACATGAGTTTATACCCTTAAACTTGGCTAGCAGGGAAAAAGAACTAGAAGCAGAATAAAAAATTACTAAAACACGAGATGCATAGGTTTGGTACCAGTGAAGTTTGGCTCCAAACTGGGTGATAATTTTCACTACTACTCGTATGGACATTTGCATAGCTGTATTATCTCCACTCAAGGACTGTTGAGACTTTCAGAAGACAGAATCTGTAGCTTTTTCTTCTATATATTTACACTGCATATAATATAGAATCGCACTTAGCAGTCGAGTGGGAAATGAGTAGAATTGGAGGAAGGGTACATAAGTCTCAAGGCTCTTCCCTCCTGGCTATTTAGGTGACATCAGACCCCAAACAGACTTTCTCCAACCTCAGCTACAAAGGTTTAAGGGTCTATTCTTTTGTGCCCTAGGGGTTTTTTCTTGAAGAATTTAGTAGCTGGTATGAAGATATTCAATACAATTTATGCTTTTCTGACAATGTGGAATCCCCAGAAGTCTTCTGCTAGCTTTC